AGAGTGACTTCAGTGGAGAAGTTAGCGAGGTTGTTTCCAAACATGCCTGAGAGTTTGGGTTGAAAGCAGTAAACACTTGACCAGCGCTCTCACTGGACGTGTGTATGAGCCTCGAGGAATGGTTTGCCTGCCTCTGTTTTTTCTTGGTGTTTGTGACTTCACAGTGTGAATTTCTCTGTCTTTACACACAATCCAGGTATTTCCACCCACTCCAGTTCAGGCCAGGAAATTGGTTGGCAAAGCCCGCATCCATGGTTACATTCAAGTGCCTGTCTCAAATCAGCCCTGCCCAGATTGGGTACCAGCCGTCAAAGGTTGGTTATAATCTACATAGTTCTCATTTGTACCTTGTTAATAGTGGGTACCAGCAGGTTAGCTGGTAATTCACATTCAGACCTTGTCAGTGAAATATCTTTCAATAAAATAAATTATAATGCTTGTTTTATTCCTGGGTACTTCCAGAAATTAGGGGTCCAAAAGTGTAAATTTTTTTGTGTCCCTGTTACATCTGGCCTTTGTTATTTGACATGGAAATATCACCGGAATTGATTTCTAACTATTACTGTTTATTTGGCATTAGAAAAATGTGTTCTGTACTTACAAAATCATATGTCAGATGTGATAGGGACATTGAAAAAATGGACCCGTAATTTGTGGAATTACCCTCGTGTAGTTGTCAAAATGTTTCTGCCTTGTTGTATGATTTTTTTTACTTTGGTCATTATGAACATGGTTTTGACCTCCCTCGAGAAATTTTGTTACGTGACTCCATTTTTTTGCATATTTCAGCTAATCAAACAAAACCATTACCTCCCCCTGCCTTTCACCTTAAGAGGGATAAAGCAAAAAGGATAAATTATTTCACTCCAGAATGTAAGCAGGTTATAATCACATTACTCAGGTAAATAATTGCTTTTGGGAATAATTTGTGTGGCTTATTGAGAGATACAGTTGTGATAAAGTGTCCTGCCTGTGAACACAAACAGTTATTCATTCCTTGCTTTGATGTCCCAGTCAATTCTGTCAAGATATGCCCTTGAGGTAACAAATGTTAAATCAGTGAAATTGTGAGAAATCGCCATGCCTGGGACCTTAACCCTCATCTTTAATTTGAATTTTGTATTTGAAAACAGGATGATTTCAGGTTTGAAAATGGTGACCCTAACACTCTAACCCTTTAAAACCGTGGAGCTGTCGTTATTTTTCACAATTTTGTACTGGTTTATGTCATCCAACAGTAATCTGCCAACTGGAAGGCAGTGGCAAGTGGCCAGATGACCTTGCAGCCATCCAGCGAATCAAGGCAGCATTCCACATCCGATTAGGACAACTGCTGCATAATCAGTGTAAACTGGTCACATCAGCCACACCCAAATACGTCGATGTTCTCAAGGTGGGAGCCACCTCAAGCATTTTGTTTCTCATTATTACTAAAATTAATATCAAGAACTGTGCATAAAGGCTGGCGGATTTGTGTTGGGTCAGCAGATTTCCTGATTTTGTAACCACCCATGTGTGCTATTACAACTGAAATTGAAAGAAACTGTACATTTGTACAAAGTCCTGTATTGCTTGGTATTGCAATATTGTTTATTTGCATGCATGTGCAGAGCTTTCAAAAATAAACGAGAGCCCCCAAATTCCATTGACTGCCAAACTCCTAAAACTGTAACTTAGAATATATGAGTAGGTAAGCATATGTACATCACAGTACGTGGTCAGCATCAGGATGGAGTGAGTGACCAATTTCCAAACACTTGACCAGCACGATGATTTATTTCTGACTCACTTGTCCTGACTGACTTCCGTATCCCACTTTGATGACAGGAGGGGTACGTGTTCCGCGTGGAGGTCGCTCACAGGCGAGAGATCGGCCTCTTGAAGGAGACCGTCACACCTGACGGGATGAAGGTGCTGCGCGATAATCCTCAGTCTCTAGAGCTGGAGATCAGGACGGTGATGTTGCCACGACTCACCAGCACGCTGCATGGGTGAGATGCGGTCACAGTTGTCAATCTCAACCCCCCCCTTCTCTCCCCCTCCCCCCCCCAAAAAAGGGCCCAAGATTCACCCGGAAGCATAGGAGGACTTGAGGAAGGATTGAGGATGCTATGGTGTCGAGAAAGGCAGACGGGAATTGCAGTCGTTGACTTCATTCTTATCACAAGTACCTTCAAGTACCTGCACTAAAACAGAAACAATAGAGAAAAGTAATTGTTATCATTCATATGAAAAGATTGTGGCAGCATTGGGACCGTTGTACTTTTGATGTGCTAGCAAAGAATTCTGAGCAGTTGTAGTTACAGCAGTGCAGCACTGTGTCTGTCAGCCATGTTACAATCCTGTAAAAAAAATTCACAAAAAATGCTCCATTTTGGAACTAGATATCCGGTATGTTTCCTTTGCCTGATGCACTGAATCCAACTATGAATGTTGTCAGCAGACAGATTTCATGTAATATAATTGTGTCCTGCATACAAAGCATGATGTATGAGGTACCCGGTATTGTGTTGGGTGTAACTGCAAGTTTTTGTCTTCGTTGTATCTTGTTGTGGTGAGGACCCATTTCTGTCCTCTCTCCGCCATCAGCATACAGCTTATACCATGGACATCTGTTTGTGACAGACTCATTCGTTGAACATACTCATAGATCAAGTAATTCCTCGCAATCAACTCATGAGTCAACTGCAGCTGAATCTCATTTCAGGCTTCAGCAACAACATGTGCCCTTCTCTGGAACCGCCCGTCTAGCCAAGCGGTGGCTGTGTGCCCAACTTCTGTCCAATCATGTGCCAGACGAGGCCATTGACCTCTTGGTGGCTTACCTGTTCCTCCAGCCAGCTCCACTTACAGTACCTGGGTGAGTACCATGTCCTCAGAAGAAGCCTCAACTTTGTCCTCGTTGTTGGGAGCAGGTCCTCACAGTGAGTGCCAAATTCTCTAAATACACACCTAGTATATATGGCCCTCACAATTTACGCTCGTCCTCACAATGTATACCATGTTGGCACAATAATTTCTAAGTACTAACTACAAATACTAAGTCCTCAATCCATAGAAAGTCCTCACAATCAGAGAGTGTATGTCTCTTTATCCTAACTTATCACCAAGAACCTAAAGTGCTCTGTCATTATTTGATGAAACAAAACTTTTTTTATTACCAGTTATATAAATAGTTGAAATCTCAATATGTACATCCAGCTAGAAACTGTCTGAAATACAGTACCTTTAATTTTCTAGAGCTGTTTCATTTCATTCATTTATGGGCTTGAACACAGTATTCATCATCAATATTGTCTGATTTCTTGTGTGTAGTTCTCCGTTGGTTGGTTTCCTGCGATTTCTCCACCTGTTAAGCTCTCACGACTGGCAGTCCACTGCCGTCATCATCAATCTCAACAATGAAATGCAAGGTTGGTTTGGGGCTGATTTAGCGACAGAGCCATTCTTGCTGAGTTTAAGCAAGAAAGGATGTTGGTAACTACAGATGAAAACAGACTTTAAAGACAGCTTCCTTCTCTGTTTGACTTGAACTGCGTAGCATCCGAATCCGTTGCAATAATCATGGAGAAGCACTACTTTAATTTTGGGCAATCTAGAGTAAATACGGAAAGGAATGATGGATTGCTTCTCCATGTGGGATTTTGTTTCAAAACGCAGCTAAATTTACGAAATCTGTTATAATCTTAAAACACATTTTTCCTAAATAAAAAGGGTTTTTATTGGTACCTACTTCTGCAGGTCATACCTTGCCAGTGTACCAGCTGGTGATATTAAAGAGTTTCATCTTGTATCCTTACACAGTGCACAAGACATGGGCAGCTTTCTGATGATGCCGTCGTTTTTGTAGGTTTTCTCAAGCTCAGCCCCACATTGCTACGAACATTAGACATTTTTAGAGGAAATTTCGCTGCAGCTGGCTCCCATGGACAACTCGCATTCAAACACTTTGTAAAATCAAAAAATAAACTTACAGAAACAGTTCAATTTGGTAGCCAAATAAACAATGAATGTGCCGCCTAAACCCGTGTGCGTCTTCTCATGAGACAGATTCGGACTACGATGAAATCCGCCAACATTTCACGGAGCAGAGGAGCCAACTCCCACCCATGTTCCTAGCCACGCCCACTGACAAGCTCAATTCAGTGTGGACCCAGAAACAGCCGACAGCTCAGGTGTGCCCAAGAGATCAAAATAGCACATGGTCATTGACCAATGTTACTCATACCACAAAATTAGTCTCCTAATGCGAACTGTGATGTGTTCTTTTTCCCAAGGCAAAACTGCAAAAACGGAAGCCTGGATCATAGATTTTGCAGGGTTGGGAGGTATCTGACTTGATCAAAGCAAACTTATGTAAATGCATCACTGCTTAAATTTTGAGTTTAATTGAAAATCCACCAGTATGCCCCACTAAAATTTGATGCAAGGAAGTCTGCGTACAAATCAATGAAACATTTCTGTTCTCAATACATTCGTTTGATAGGTGGAAGTCCAAGGGAGTTTTTCTCCCGACAGATAATCAAATTTGTCCATGTTGCACATTGAAATCTGTGACCATGTTGTCTTGTTTTGCAGATTCTTCGCAGATTACTAGTATTAGCAAAGGAGTCACTACGAGTCTTGATGTCACAGATGATGGTTGTAGACACCAATGTGGACTTCAAGGTTAGAACTAGAGCAAGATCAGAATGTCCTACTTAACCATTTTAAACAAGACAGAACACATAAGTGATAAGTATTCTCAGTTTTGAGCATTGTTGTAAAGGTCAAATCTGTGAGGAAATCTTGGGGAAGCTGGCTCTCTGTTAAGCACTTTAACTTTATAGTTTCTGGATACTCTTAAACAAACAAATGAAATCGATATTGCTTGATTGTTTTTTAAGTGCTGAAAATATACATGCATAATATAAACCAGCTAGAAAGCTGTCATTGCATTACTTGGGAACAAAAACTCTCAAAGGGATTGAAATACTACTGGAAGGACACTATATTACCAGTGTGTTTGCCGTGCCTTGCACGCATCCTCCACAGGCAAGAAAACTTGACCCTAGACAAGCCTGGTTAGCTCTCACTGAAAAGCAGGACCATGTTTTCCAACACGCACTGGCATTGGTTCTCAATTTGTCAAGATACTGGTGTGTGTCGACTAATCTGAAAAGATGCCATTACTGCGAAGGCATCACACTCAAGCCTACATTCTCTCAAACTTGACTCACACTCACACATACATTTAGGCAAATGACAACACCCTCTTGGTTGAAGAGGCATGGAGTGGGTGTGCACTACCCACCCATAGTGGCACCACAGTAATGGCTTCTAAGGTCCCAATGAGCCAGTTTGCTATTTCAGAAAGGCAGCGTTGTTCAAGAGCAAAGCACCTGATGTCATGCCAGTAGCCGATTTCACAAACCTTTACGCAGTGGCCTAACTCCACTAGCGCCACATTTTATTGCATAAGTTGCTCAACAAATTAAGATTGATTTCATGAAACCCACACAAACGACTTACAATGGGCGGCTTCATTTAAAGCATGTGCTGTCTGAATACTTCTGAACTTGTTCATTCTGGTCACAGAATCAGTCGGTAACACTTGCATTTGCCTTTATGGTAATCTAAGATCACCTCTTCTGTAGCGCAAGCACATTCCACTCTGCCATTCCACTTGCATTTTAGGCTGCACGTACATTGTCAAAACTTGTGTTGCATTTTACAGCAAGTCTTCAGGCCACCCCTTGACTTGTACGATGTGGTCATCCACCTGAGACCCAAGCTGGTCCCTCGACGAGGGGAAGTGGTGGACAGGAGTAGCGGGGCACCAGGTCAGACGTCAAGTATGGAGGGGAATCTGACAGAGAAAAGCTCTCAGTTGCCAGTGGTTGACTTTGATCCAGTCTCTCTTTACCTCAAGGAATTAGAGGTATATATATTCTCTTTGCTGTGTGATTTTTTTTAGAATGTAGAACTTTGTGGTTCATGTATGCAATGTGTGTTTTTTCTGATGAAGGAAAAATGTTAGAATATTAAGAAACTTACAATTTGCTTACAGTTTTTGCTATTAACTGATAAGTCTTTCATTCTATACGTGTATCGTTTAGAAATAATTTAATTTAAGTCACATCTCTCTTGGAAAGTTTGATTTCTGTACTTGATTTGGTCATTTTTGTGTGTGTATTTGTATTTTCTTATATGCACGCAAATTGGTCATTTTAAATGAATTAGGCATGACTTCCGAAGAGACTGTCAATTAGTGTGACTCATATACATTGCTATGTTTGTTTGTTAGAGTTGCCATGGTGACCTAGCCCTGTTCTTCCATGATCGTCATGGGGGTTCATTCATTGCCGTCTTATGGAACCCTAATGCCTTCCAACCTCAACCATTCAAGGTACACAACTCTTCAAGTTGGTCATGTCACTGTTCAAGAGCCGTACAGAGATCAGGTGTATCATACACCCACAGACTTCTTTGCGGCTATGGCTTTCCACTGTGGCACACTGCTGCCACAAACTGAAGTCGCACCCTCAAAAAGTTTATACATGGCTTGGCTTCAACAAAGCAGACAAAAAGCACTGTACATCACAAACGTGAAGAAGGATTTTGTTTTAACTTTAATGAATTGATTTTAAGCTTCCAGAGGCGTAACCAGGGTACAATTTCGGGGGGGGGGCCACCGGGGGAGGGTGCATTCTTAATCTTTTATTTCAAAGAGGAATTGAAAACAGAATGACTGTGGCTTGTGCATAGGCCATGCACATACGTGTATCCAAATTTCCAACGGGGGGTTTACCTAAGGGGCAAAGACTTCTGCATGGGGAACTGCCAATACATACACCACTGTGAAATTTATGTATTTCGGCATTAAAAATTTTGTTTCCTTGTCGCCACTTGTACTAAAATTGGAACTGTCCATTTGACAGAGATTATTTGGTTTAGGTTTATTTTGGATATGGGTGATCTCAATTGACATGCAGTAAAGTCAGCTACGTGTAGTGCCCCATGCAAGATAGCAAACATATGACAGGTTGATTACACCGATGTAGAAGGAAACCTACATTATATTGAGGAAGCAGTTTGTTTCAACACTACTGTACAGATTTTGAATCAAGTTTCCAGCCATTAATACTTAAACGTAAATATTTTTTGGGGGGGGGGAGCTATGCATGTAAAACCGGTGGTTCAGTTCAAGGAACCTTTTTTTTCAACTCTATACCTGCAGGAGGTAATAGGTTGTGTGTTACAACTTTTTCAGGTTCTTCAAGCCAAGGGTATGATGCCACAACCGAGCGCTTCAACCTCCAAAGAGGTCGTGGTGACGCCCAACGTGGAAGCCATCATAGAGGACTTCAAAATACTGGGTCAAGGCCTGGTGCAGTCGGTGGAGATAAGGACAGAAAAATGGGTTATATGAAGAATGTTGCAGTACTTAGACAGGGCCTTGAGCTGTCGGTAGATATATGGACAGAAAAGGGGTTGTATCAGGACTTCAAGATTTTCAGACGGGCCATTTGCAAGTCAAATTTGAATCAAATCTGGTACACCGAGTTATCTGAGTACACATAAACAACAAGTTGAATTCCCCAGACTAAAGACACTGTTGCTGTACTTCGTGATTCAGGGCAAGCTTTTGCATAGCGACCACCATCTCTGGAATGGACTGGTTCCTTTGTGCCCTTCTTATCCATTGAGAACAGTGTGTTGGTGCAAAGCGTCTCTTATGTAACTAAGCAAAAGCTTACCCCCGAATCACAAAGTACAGCAACAATGTCTTTCATATGGAGAATTCCAGTTGTTCCCTTCATGTGAATTTAAAGAACTCAGAATACCAGGTTTTATTCAAATTTAATAATGGTGGAATGAGATGGATGGTGGAATGTTTTACAAATGTGACGGGAAAAGTTCCATGTACGGATGCCAGTAATAGCTCCCCACAGTGACCTGTTAGCCTTCAGAAAACAAAAAAAGTTCAGTTGAGGGGAAAAAACAAGTCTGTTACTTAGATTTTTCAGACCAGTCCCGTAGGGTTTGTGCACAGGGTGTCAAGGTGGCGTCGGTATATGGAACTCTTTCCAAGTCACAGTTACTCAAATAATTGTTTCTCAATATAAAATTCCAATAATCTGTATCATTTCATTTGTAAAACTAGTTTTTCTTCCAACTAGCAAGAGTTGCAAAATGAACTTAATTTTCCTCTTATTAACGTCCCGTTGTTGAAGCCATTTCATGTTAATGCCAAAAACCCCGTTTTTTTTTCTACTTTTCCAGGCAAGTTTGTCATGCCAAGTCTCATTTTACTATTATCTGAACAGTGTTGTTCTTATACAACACCTGAAAAGCCTGTAATCCAATCTGTGGACTTGTTGGTAACGTCATCCATCCTACGCTACAAACACACAATATTCTTATCGGCCACCACACAAATTTTTTTGATCTTGTAGGTGGTACTGGAGTTTATTCATTCTGGGATTTACTCAGCTGTTGAAATGGTTTGACACTGGTGCAACGGAAGGAAACATTTCATTCAGTTTCATTTTGTTACTGATGAAATGATCTGTTCTCATAAACATTCATTGTTTGTATATTTATCAACAACATGTAAAAGACGGTTTCCTTGGAGATGTTTCCATGGATACTGTCTACATACCTGCACTAAAATTCTTCTTGATTAACAAATGAAACATCAAAAATACTGAAAGGAGGATTTTTGGTCTCCAACATTCTGAAGAGCTGATTCACCCCACAAGAGAAATCCATGAAGTTTTTTCCCCGAAAGATGCCGTAAACAGACCAGTTTAGTCCAGTGTATCAAAGCCTGGACAACCCTTTTTGTTGGGGGGGTCCACGATGCGAGTGAGCCAACGCTGAGGAAGATTCATTATCCCTAACTTTGCTCATTTCAGAATTAGAAGATGCAGTACATTTTTAGTTCTACATATTTACAAATATTTATTTTTCCATACGAATATGAAAAGCTTTGGCACTTTTAGAAAATTTCTCTCTTCCTAATTCTCTCACATCCAATGCCCATCCAATATAGACCTGTATTAAATTGTAATAGAAATTTCACACAAATGTTGTTTGACAGAATTATTCATCAAATGTTGGATTTTATCCTTAAAAAATGTCACTCTGTAAAATACAGGATTTGCTTCAGAATAATATCAAACATTAATTAATATTGACATCTCCCTGATACAAAATTCAAATTATCATGAAATGCTTGTCACATAAACCCAATTGCCACAAAAAGATATTCATATTAGGCTTCCATGTACTTAAAATGAAATGGCAGAGTGTGCAGTTATTGGAAGTACACGTCAGTATATTTTTTGTATAGTTCTCTTGGATCAATCTCGAGTATGAAATATCTTGCGGCGGTACCACACTCGTGCGCAATCACATTTGCTTGTTACTTTGTGTGGCGTAATCGCACACACTGCCAGTGTTAATACCTTTCTGTGATCAATACATTTGAAAATTAAAATGCTGAAGCAGAAGGATTTGATTAGTTGATCAAATTAATTTTGCTTGGACGGAACCGTCAACCTGATATAAATGATAATATTGGATAGCTTGTTCAAAAGTCTAAAGTGCGCTCACTGTAACAACACTGCCCTCCCCTTTGACTCCTGCAATATTTCAAGATGTATTTTCGAGTCCCACCTGAGTAAGCTTGTGAATTTTTTCGTAAGTTCTCAAACAAGCATTGAGCATACAGTGTTTATTAATACATACGTTGGGTAAGGGCAAAACCTGTTATAAATGTAAAAAAAAAAAAAAAAAAAAATCTTCAATATTGTTACAGCTTGTCTTCAGCTCATGCAGTGTCATTACAGCTCGTGTAATATCTTCTTGTATCTCCCTTTAAGCCATCCAATATTACTCCGTCAACTCTGCTGTATCCCTCCTCCCCTCCAAAGGAAGAGAAAGAAGCCTTGTATTTGTTAGAACGGAAACAAACAATTCTTCATTATAATCAAGCATATAAAACTGTACTGGTAACATTGGAATTGGTAATGATACAGAACTCCTGGTCCCAATGATAGTGAAAGACTGTACAAAAACGGTTTGGAATGTTACAGTGACAAAATGATTACATCATCATCAATAGCCCCAAGCTGTTGTTGCTCAAGCCATCGAGGGGAGCCAATTCAGTGTTGTAGTCGACACCATGGCAAGTTCATCACAAGTCAGCCAGTCTGAAGCCAAGTCGAAAGCTATTCAAACGAACTCATGGACAGAACCATATTTTGGGGGGGGGAATTGTTTTGGGAAGGCCAAAGAGTTGGGACTTTATGTAACTTTATATGGTCTTCCAGAGAGGTGAGGCAAAATTTTGGAACTTTCACTTTTGGAAGGGAAACAATCCCTAAAAATCATCCTTTTACTCATTAAAAAATGTTCCTTTTATGAGCCGTAGCCCCTGAGTCCCTCTTGGAACTGTCCATGAATGATCTGTGAGAAAAGCACTCCCCGGTTACTTATGACTGGTCTCTCTTTGTGGAAGGGCTTGTGAATCGACTACAACACTGGGCGGGATGCCTCAGGCTACGTCTTTCAAGTAGGCCCCAGCGTCCCCCTCCAGGAGACGCATTGCCACATCTTGGAAGCTGAGCTCTGTAGCAATCTTGTAAGCCGTCAGCACCTCCTCACAATGACTCAATAGTTTCTTCATGTTACAGATAGTCAGGTACATCTTGCTACCTTCTTTCCGATATCTTTAGGGGGGAAAAAAGGAATGAACTTCAACAATTTCACTTTGTGCAAATAAATATAAATTCATACACATGATGCGACAGGCTTGTCAAAAACAAAAGGACAAATTGTTTCCAACAATAACTGGGCTTGTGCCATGTGCTAAAAATATCACCCTTTGGAACCCTAATTTTCCCACATTTTTCTTAATTTTCTGATTCTTCTCATTCCTTTTATGCCTCATGTAATGCCCTCGCACGGTGATCGTCACATGGCACTTGATGAACAGTGTTCAACCTACTTCAGTATTTGCCAATTTCAACTTCCAAGCAAAGGCAACAAATGCACACAAGTTATTAGGCTGCAAACCGTGTTAATTTCTATACCCCACAAAAACCAAAGAAATATGGATTCCTGGTCAACGGAAATGGTTTGTGAAGTACAGGGTCTCTTACTTGTTGGCGACATCCCTGAACAGCATGTCGTTGACTGGCATGCATTTGTTGTAGTCCTCTAGGTACTTGAAGTCTCCCTGGATAACCACATTGTGGTAGATGGCATCAGGCCAGTAGGTGTGTGAGCCGTAAGCATCAGCAACAATAAGAGCCTAAGTGCAGTCAACAAGTCCAAATGGTTTAGTGAGGCAAAATCCATGTTCCTGAAAAATACTCCACTTACCTGAAAATATCGATCCCATATGAAGAAAGGATCATTGCAGTATCATGCTTGATTAACCTTAACAGGGCTAAGTCCTCTGATTTCAATGAGATTTTACACTCGCACCAGGGAGTTGAGGTTAGTCCAGTTTGCCAAGTTAATCGACACAGGTACCCCATTCGACCAATCGATAACCTTATCTTTCTACACCAGGGCTCCCTGTCATCTCACCATACCAGTACGTTCACTTGCTGCCGGGTTTGATTTGAATTTGCGGGACGAGTTACAGGAACTTTCAAGAGTTTCCATTTTCAAAATTCTTCAAAAATTCATAACTTCGTTTACCAGAGGTTTACACCCGCATGAATGACTGTCTGGTGGCTACTCTAATCTGACAGGAACCTTCACTGACGCCTAAGTATTTTAGCCAGGCCTGCCGCCTTGTAAAGAGAGTAATTTCCTTGTTCCTGAAATTAGCCCAGTGCGCTGTTGCCGTCTTTTCAAATACGTCTAGATTAGCATACAGCGGTATCGCTCATCGCTAGAGCGCTTTGTCCCCGCTGATAATTCCCTGGCACTGAATGCCATAAACAGTGGTACCCTGTTTCAAAATAATGAAGGATTACTTCCGCTAATGCCAACTGATAAAATGTTAGCAATTCCCAGCAGCTCGGTCTTTTGTTCCGAGTACGGTCTTTTGTTACAAGGCCCAGCTCCTTTGTCCGATTTCGAGCACCCCAGCTATGCGTATAAACCCAAGGTGCCCAGTTCCGGAAACCCTGGAGGCAAGTGGTTAACGTACTTCTACCACCCAGTGTGCCCATTAATGTCACTGCCCATTTACTTGATAATCGCAGTTATCCAACTGGATTCACCCAGTAGCCCTATGTAATAGTGTTCTTAGTCAAACCAGCACTTTGCACATCTCATTTGATTAACCTAGTTGATCTACTCCGCAACAATTTACAAGCTACCCACCCACACATCTCACTTGATAAACCCTACTGTCTCACTGAACCCGCCCCACTGATGTGATTGATAACCATGTAAAGTGACTGCTGAAAACTTATCCAAACAGTAGAAATAGATATGAGCACTTTCGTTTGCATTAAGTGCATTTTAAATTGACCCGGTTTCACCCACTTAACCCCAGCTAGCCGATGCCCCAACCCAGTTTGCCCAATGGACTACCCTAGTTAACCCACTTTAAGGACCCAGTTTACTCATGTAGTAATAATCTATGCCCCTCATTCTATCAGTCCAGCAGGCTCAGCCTCAATCCCTAAGAGAAGCCTCCACTCACCTCATGGAATCGCTGGTGTTTAGTCATGAACGCAGCCAAGGCCTTGGAGTCTAGATTAATGACCTGCGCCTTGGTTGGGAGCAAATGAAGCTGTAATGCGACCAGACGGGCTTGCTTCACGCACTGCTCAGCATGACGTAGGCAGTTGTCCTGTTAGCGATGACAAGGGTTGTTTACATGAGTTGATACGCCATGGCTGTTGTGGTGCATGTAATTGTTATGAACCACCATGGAGTGGCACATCATATACGGACTCAGTATATCTTATGTTGGTACATGGTGTAGAAACCATACATGAGGCGTCACGGTTTAAAGATTAATGGTTTAACTAAATCAGGGTTCATAGTTGTGATTGGTGAATCGTACCTTAGCAAAGCTCTGGGCGGCCTTGGTGAAGTCTTGTAAGATGACTTGCAGACTGTTCTGCAACTCAATGTTGGCATCTGACCAACAGAAAGAAGTAAAAATCATAAAGAAGCACCAAGGAGCAAACTCAGCAAATACAAGTCCCATTAAAATGAGGGTTTTTTCCAGTTTCTTACAAAGTACATTCAAGCATAACACAAAACGTGGTGCAAAATCACTGACGTTAAGCTTCTTCAATGGAAAAAAAGTTCTCCGATCACTTCAATCTCTTCCAATCACTTCAAGCCATCCTACCCATCGTCTTCTTGCTCACTGCTTTCAGCTGTTCATGCGCATCTTTCTCCAGCAGCTCGGCAATCTCTCGATTCATCTCCAACTTGACGGCGACAAAGTTGTAGGCCTCAGTGTCGGGAGGGTCGCAACGTTTCAGATAGTCCAGCAAGGCAACCTTCAGATTGTCATCCTGAAGTAAGGAGGGGGAAAGTCCATGCTTGATACTTAGAGATGTCTTCTGTCATTCTCAGGGTTTTGTTTGTTCACTGTACATGGACAAACCAATGACTGCCGGCACTCCGGCTGCAGTGACCATCAGAGACTATATTGTTTTCTAACTCAAAATGGAAATGTACCCAACTTACATGTCATATCTTTGGTAAAGGAACTGCACAGCAAAGCCTCAGACATGAGGAATCTAACTTAATGACTTGCTTGGTCTCCGATTGCAAAATTGACAAAACATTACCCACAAGATCTTGAGTTTGACACACAGAGGTAGAAAGCAAAGAAATTGACTTCACAAAGCCCTGTGTGAATAGCAAATATGCCAGACATGCCAAAGACCTGAAAGTCCCCACATATCAACGGATATTGTAAAGGACCAAAATAGAACGATCCCTTTTTATTCCACTCTTTAATGTGAAAATGTTGTTAAATTGTGGCAGTGTAACATACTGTTTTTCGATCAGTGTGTTAACTTCTTATAAATCTTTTAAAACTTCATGGGGTTTTTCTTCAATTTCAAATGTTGCTAATTACACCGAACAAAACCAATTTGTACATAACTGCATGAATCAACAACCTCTAGTCCGTCGTGCACACCTTTGTAGCATTACAGGCGACCATCTTACCTTGTCTCGTCTCTTCAAGAGCAGCTCAATCTGTTGATGAGCCCGGAGTACATCAAAGATGTAAGACATTTCACAGTACCTCCCGACACCTGTCAGTAACCGCACCTGAGATGATGCAGAAGATAGGCAGGAAATGGTGACATTTACACACAACATACCCTGACATACTTAAAAGAATCCCAGGTTTCCTCCGTGGGCAATCTACTTGCTTTATCACGAGAGGCAGTTTTCCAGTGGCAAAAACACCCCCAAAATGTTATTTTAAATGAACAAGATGGCACTGGTAATTGAAATCAGAGATAAACCCCATCCATAAAAAAGAGGCACTGTACCTTTAAAATGGCAGTTATACGAGACTTCTGAAACCGTAGTTACAATGAATCATGTTCAGTGATCACACGAACACAACCAGAAGCCAAACGTTGACGGTAGTTTTGCATTGATTAAATCATGTAGTCTTATTCTTAAATTTACCCACAAAATCCTTTTAACCCTCCCTTTTGCCATCCATAAGAAGTCATCCAGTCTTTGATAAGCTAAGTCGCAAGCTATTCAAATGAACTGCATCAAAAGCATTCTTTTGCAATTGTTCAACCTGTTGCTTGTGACTGGACTTGTGACTGGCCTTGTGAAGGGACTTGTAACTGGCCTTGTGAAGGGACTTGTGACTGGCCTT